ATCTTGTCTATTGCCATTCTGCCCTTGCCTTCCTAAAGACCTGGAGGTAGTAATGCTATACTGGTGGTCTATCAGAATTGCATAGTAACTCAAGAGTGCTCAACCAGCAATAGCTTTAACTTTATGGCCCTTACTGGTTTAGTACAAGGCTGTCCTAGCAAAACATTCAGGACCGACTACCATTGTCTTCTACACAGAGCATGGAGTAATCTGATAATTGGCATTTGTTGCCCTATTGTAATGGTATGTGGGAATGACCTTGGGAGACAGGAGGAAGAGCTGCAGACTGAACAATCAGCATGTAAAAAAATCTCAGCCCACAGAAGGAAGGAGGATGTGGGAAACAATTCAGAAGGAATCCTCCTTAGTTTTCCAGAGAGTAAAAGGAAAGGAGGGGAGAAATACTTTCAGCCTTGCAAGATTTTGTTAATGTAACCTTACAATAGAGTTAGTATTCATGGTTATGCTTCTTTTCTGGACTACCTCAAAGAGCTAACATCTACATAAAGGAAATAAAGGAAGTGGAGGGAGCACCTTAGTAAGAGGATGCTCTAACGCCTATTCTGAGTTTTTAACTTTGCTCAATTTTAATTATGATAGAATAGGATGTGGGAGAAGGGTCACTTTAATCAGCAGTGGGGAAAGACCCTTTGTCTAAGTGTGTGGCATTTCTAATATTTTTATTGTAATAGTCCAGCCTAGTTTGGAATGTGTCATATAATATGCTGATTGTCCAGGAATAACAAAAGGTATAATTGCTATGGATGCAGACCAGACCTATAATAATTATCTCTGCAGTCTGCCCTAGAATACATGAAGGTTTTTCTCCTAATCATACCTAGTTCACATAATATGTTAAAGGTTAGGCTTCTAGGCTGCTTGGAGCCCCCATCGCCTTCAGATTCAGAAAACCAGGAAATAGAGGAAGCAATCAGAATTGTTCTAACATTCTGCCCTCTTCTGGCCAATGGAAAAACTGAGATTAATTGCAGATATTGGGCAGTAAACAAACAGCTGAGCATGGCACTTTCTGCTGGTGACCCCATTTTCTTGGGAAACTAAGGCAAATGGATCGTCTGAGTGCTGATAATTGAGGTATCCTTCACCAGATGTGTGAGGAATACAATGTGCAGAATTCCAAGTCCACAAAGATCCTACTGGATAGGAATTCTTTTGGAAAGCATAACCTGGGAAAAATTGTACCGCTATACAGAACTGTCTTTTGGGTAACATTACTGAGGTTACATCACAAGGTTGGCGCATAGGCCTGATCACTAGACTGGATTAAATAGGTAAAAAAAATGGAGGCCACCTCCAAATGGAGGCCTGGAAAATGTTTATTGGTGGCCCAATATATTTGGATGAAGTCCTTTATCAGCTAAAATGAAATCTTTGAGTTGAGCTCAACACTTGGTGACTTCATGGATATGCACATGTACAATTCTTGGCAGTAATGACATGGTTTGCTATTGCCTTCTGTGATTTTTTTTTTTTTTTAATTCTCAAATTAGCCAGCAGCCCTGGAATTCCATGGTGGCTTCCTCTCCAGCTACCAACCAGACCCAAACCTGCTTAGTTTCAGAACCAAGACAAGATCAGCCAGATGCTGGAACCTACTGATGCTCCCACTGTCATGGGCAGTGCAAATTAAAAAAACACCAGAATCTACCACCTCTGTTTTTGCCTGCACAGCAGTGCCCATCCCACATGGTTTGAGGAAGGCCATATCAAATTCTGATATAGATACTGCAGCTGTTCTATTGTAGTTTCTCCTACAGAACAGGTTCACTACTTGGCAGAAATATTTGTTAATATATGCTTTGCACACTACAACATAGTAAGATTGACTTTTGAAAGGAAAGGAAATTGTTACTTGGCAACAGAGGATCTATGAAGATTCCCTCCAAAGAAACTAGATTTCCTTATTACAGAGGAAGGAGACACAACTTTGTGATTTTGAAGAAACAGGTAAGTTGCAAGAGGGCAGAATTGAAGACTTACACCAGAATCAAAAAATGTTCCATAGAGCAGACACTTGTACATGATCTAGCTCAGGGGTGACATCTTCTGGGAAAAACAGAGGGTTTTCAGTTTATTGTGGAAGTCAGAAAAAAACACTAAACAATGGAATATATAGTAATTACTGCCATAATCCAGTAGTTAAAATATAGCATTTCTTATAAAATATATAAGTTCTGGACAATGAGTGACCAGATCTGTACCATGCACCTGTCTTCCCTAGTACCTCACCAAAGAAGTAGCTGATGGCTTGCCAGAAGCTTGGGCTTGTGAGGATGTGTAAAACCTTCCAGATGAAGCCTCTTCTGGAGGACAATAGCAGTTTGTCAGTCTGCCAAAGAGCACTATTGCATTGGGAAAGGGTGTACGAAGACACTTTTTTGCACATTCTCTTTCCCAATGTCCTGGAGAGGTTTTATTTTATTTTTTTTCCCCATGTGAAGCATATTTGCGTTTGTATATAAGCTTGTATGTCTGAGATGCATATATGTATATTTTTTCTTTTTTTATTACTGGAGGGGTTTTTGTATTTGTTAAAAAAGAAAATAAAACACAAATGAAACATCAAGCCAAAACCTTAAAAGCAAAAGCAAAAATACAGAAATGCAAATAAAGCAAGGACAAAACCCAAAACAACAGTAACAAAAAAACCTCTACCTAAATATGAATACATTTAACAGAAATAAAAACATTTTAAAAAATTAATATGCAATTTTTCTATCCAGAATGACATTTGTTCACATGAAGAAAAACATAGTAACCATTTTTCTTTGTGCTTTAACTCTTTTAATCTTTGTGTCAAACTCTTTCCCTTTTATTCACTTTCTTGGACATGTTACTTATCTCTGAGTTGCATCAATTATTGTTGCATAAATAATTCAGGGTAGGAAACTCTTTGAAAGAGTGGGTTTATGATGTGGCACTCAGAACTCTGTCTTGATCTTAGGTTCCAGCCCACATTTCGTTTGGTGTAGAGCTGGATATGAGCTGTAGGATCAGGGTATCCTGATCAGAATCATGGAGGATCAGAAGATCAAGAGCTGGAGGATCAGGGAGGTGGAGTGCCTACACACACAGCTGAAGAGGTTCTATCCTCTAGGGATCATCTAACAGCATCAAAGACAGCACCATGATCAGATGGTTGGCAAAGCACATCTGACTGTATCCACAGCAAGATTTGCATTATGATAAGAAGAGAAACACTATTTTAACACTAGTGCAGCTAAGGACTATTTAAAGCTGCCTCAGATATAGGCTGGGGATCAGATGAAGGCAATGACATGAGAACACAACAGAAAAAAGAGACAAAGGTATGAGCCACTATCACCAGGGCCTCCTTTTCCAAGGACAGCTATCAGCAGTCATCTCCCTAGCCATGGCTTCTGCCTACCTAGCTAGCAGTAGTCATGAGCCTAGCAGGACCCGAGCCACAGCTCTGCTTTGGGAGGGGAACACTCCTTTCATCTAGGTCTCAATGCAGGTCAACAACTAGGACCAATTCTGGTTTTAGCCCACACCTGCTATATGAATTGGCTGAATTCATACATTAATCCAGAAGCAGACAAACTTTTTCATTTTTTGTTGACTGTAAAGGGCATCACTAGAGATACTGTGACTTTACTGAGAAGTGGGTTGACATTTTGGGGCTCACCTTTTCAGTTTTGTGGAATTGGGGATAATTTGTGGAATTAAGAGCACAAGGGATATATTAAACGCCATGGAGGCTGAACACACTTATTTTTTCACTAAATCCCACAAATAGTGCTATTAAATGTCAGCATACTGTAGTCAAATTTCAGCAGCACAATTTGGAGGTGCTTTGGGAGCCACAAGAATGGGGCTTGGGGACTGTGGGTAGCCCACAGGCTGTCTTCATTCCTGCACTAAGCCATAAACCCTAGCACCCTTTCTTCCTTTTCTGAAACTATCAATTTATTTATTTACTGTGATACATTTATGGTCTAGATTTCCACTTAGTTCCTCAAGGTGGTTACATGGAGTGATGTAAAATAACTGAGACCTCAGTCTCCCTAGTCCATGTCCAACTTTCTATTACATCACACTGTTTGATTTTTTTTAATGGATTGGTCATCAGAAGACAAGGGCTGGCCCCACCCTTTTCTTTCTTTGGTGTTATTTGACATTGTACAAGTTTTCCTTGCATCCTTGTGAAAATGCTGCTTCTGTCCCAGAGTTTCCATGGATATACAATACCAGGTCCTATGAGCACAAATCTAATCTAGATCTGTACTTTGTATGCTTCTAAACTGGGCTAACTTTAGCTCCCAATATCCCTCAGTACCAAATGCTGTTAGCCGGACATCAGTTCAGCACAACCGGCAAAGCCACATTTTTCTCAGTCCAGTGTAACTGCTGCTAGACTCACACAGAACCCTCTGGTTTTAACTGGGTTCCAGGCCACTGGGCCACCAGTAAGCCGGCACACAATAGGCCACCGGTGAGCCAGCACAGTATGGCTGAATCTAGCCATAAACCACAATGGCTACGTGTACACGCCACGCTAAGCCCAAATCAGACAAACGAAGTAGCATTTCATGTTAGGCTATAATGTGGCTTGTTTGAGTTCATCTTAGACTGAAAGCGTCTGGCTTATTCAACAAACAATTGTTCTTACAATCCATGGCTTAAACACGTTACACCCCGCCCGGGAGGCGCAAAAGGGGCCCGCAGCCCAATCACGAGCGCTGCTCCGGAAGCAACGTCGAACTCCCGCCGAAAGGGGAGGCGCGTCTCCTTCTGCCCACCGTAGACGTGGCGCTTCCACGGTCTCATTCTTGCGCCGTGGGGCGCGTCCCCCTCCCTCTGGTGCGCATGCGCCTTCTCCCCGCCGGCGGCTGCGAACCTGGGGCGGCGCGTGAGGCGGAGCAAGGGCGGACCCCGCGCCGGAGCCCAGACCGGCCGGCTTCTGCACCTCGCCCGGCCTCGGCCTCACCCGCCCTTTCCTGCCTCTCCGGGGCGGCATGGAGAACCCTGAGGCGGCCGCCAACGGGGGCTCCGCTTCGAACCCGCCCGCTGCCTGCCTGGGCGGCTTACGCAAAGGAGCGAGGAGAGCCTGTGATTCTGAGGAGAAACCGCTGATCAATCCTAAGGCGGCAGCGGTGGAGCAGCCGTCGCGCCCGCGCTCTCCTCAGCCACCCGTGCGGTTTTCGTCTTCGGGCTCCGAGGAAGCGGCGCCGGACCACCCGGAAGGCCCGCAGCACCTGCCCCCGCCGCCTCCCCACCGGCGGCCGCATCACCACCACCACCACCGCCC